ACTACTTATCTTAGGAATATTTGGAATGAGTCTTTACTTCATTCATATATATCCATGTGAAGGAAGCTCCATGGGAGAAAAGGCAACTGGGCCACTCTGCTGTTCCTGGCAGCAACATAACATGGTTTCTTGGCTCAGTACCTTGCGTGGGACTGGAGATCTCATGGAATGCTATCCATGTATGCTTCCTATATTCATACATCTGTGGCATGTAGTCGCATAGAGATCCATGCACTGTTGGGTTTGGGCCACGAGTTCTTCTATATGAGTAACCCCTTCTTGTTGATAACAAATCAGGAGAACATTTGTCAAATGCCATGTGTTCTTTTTTAAAAAAAAGAATGCAGTTATACAACAGATTTGTGTTATTTCATGCTTAATTGTTGACTCTGTCAAAGACGTGTACTAACTTCAGAGCTCCCTTTGCAAAATCCATCCAGATTGTTCCTTGAAAAGCTTATTTTTCTATATGTTTAACAACTCTGCTCTTAATAATGTTCCACTGATGTACCTGAACCTGAAGTTGGGCAGACGAATAGTACTTTCTTGGATATCCCCCAGATCACCATTTGCCAAAATTTAGACTTTTGGAATGGAAGCTGCTTTTAGTGATCGATTACATAGTTTAGTTAATAGTTCAGCAATTCACATCTCAGTTCTTTAGGAACTTCTGGATGGGCGCCATCTGGCATCCAACATGGTACGTTTTAATTCTAAAGTGTTATCCTTTGTCACTTTTACTTGGCACATTTACTTAAGATGTGGGGCATCCTCCAAATACTTTTGCAGTGCAAGCTGATTTAAAATATTTTTATCTGCATTTTTCCTTTCCCTTTCATCAAAGTGTACTTATACAGAACAGCTATTTAGAGGTCAATGCCAGGTTGGAATGTGGTGGATCACTGCTACTGGGGGACGCTATAACTAGGACAGCCATCTAGGAAATAGATGAGCTTTCCCCAAATTTCCTTGCATGAGGGAAACACATACAGAAAAGTTTGTGACTGGTGTTCTATGCAACTTGCACATTTGAAACAGCAATAATCTGTTACCTTTTTCCTCTTTAGAGGAGAATCTTCCTTAAGCTCAAATAAATCTTTATAGCAAATAATTGGTTGTTTCTCACTGGGTGATGTTTAAAGATAGGTAAGTCTGGGCAAATCTGGTACAACTGATGTACCCGTAAGAGAAAAAGCAGGGGACCATTTGGGAGAAGCTGCTGCACCCCTCCCATGTGGAGAAAAAGTCATCTTGTGGTGGCACCTTCAATTCCCCCCCTCACCCGCAAAAAGATCCAAGTTTGCCAAGGACCCCAAAGGCTTGGAAGCTCTTCTCAGTTGTTTCCCAACTATCTTGATCTCTCTGGTCAAAAGCACAGTAAGACAACTGCATATAAAATAGCTCAAATTAAAATGATATTTATGTGATGCGCCTGAGAAAGGGAGAGATGCAATTTGCCTCCCTGTTCAACCGAAATGTGTGGAATACAGCATAGTGTGTGATGACTGACAGTGCAGAAACTGGAGTGGAGTGGGGGGCTGGCTTTTTAAACAGCAAAGAGAAAGAGAATGCTGACAAGGGGAAAGAGAAGGACAAGGACATGCATGAGAAACTTTGTTAAGAATACAGCACTAAAAGCACCGAAGGAGTTACACAGAGTCTGTCAACAGAGATGGGGTTTGCTGGAATGAAGGAGAGTCAGTGCTCAGACTTGCTCAGAAGGAGCTAGGGTTCCTAGTTCCAAGCAAAGAAGATGTTTTCAAGCTCTGTCCTCTGACATGAGAAGGGCTAAGAGTGTTCTGGGGCCCTGGGATATTATGAAGAGACTCATAGCTGGTTCCTAGCTAACCTTTCTAAATTTACCACAGTACTGCTGATCTCTTAGGCAGGCCTGGAAGGGAATGAATGAACTTCTGCTTCAAGAAAATGTTAGGAGGGAAAAAGAAAAGGAGGCAAAAGCACTGAAAAAGGGAGATGCAAAGAGAGACTGATACTTGCTAGCAATGACCAGGACCTAACCTTTCTCAGTGCCCGACAGAACGGTTGTTTTTATTGTTGCTTCTTTTTAACTGCTGACTTCCAAATCTGCCTATTAAATACTTTCTACTGAGCATGGGGCATGAGAGCTATATATTTAAGAAAAATAAAAATTCCCCTAAGTTCATAGAACCAATTTCACAGCTCTTGGTATCTTGGTCATTGGGTTTTCTCTCTCTCCACATCTTAGATAGTTCACTCTGAAAGTTATCGTGCATATTCCTGGCATAATAAGCCTTTATCAGGTCAGGTAATGAAACAAGTAATTGAATACTGTGGTGGAGACAGCTCTGCATTCTTTTTACACTGCAGAAATAATAGAGAATTATAGAACTCCAAAATTACAGCAGATGTATTCTAAAACCGTATGACCAGTCAATATGGAATGTGACAAAGAGTAACAAGGATTTGCAAGCATAGTCCTGGAAAGAGACAAAGAACTGCAAACAACAGAACAAGTTTTTCATTATTGTGATTTTATGCCCTACATTTTTTGCCTTATTTCATGCAATATACTATCAGAAAATTACCATCCATAAATGGTAACACAGAATATCTCTTTATTAATCCAGACATTAATATGGTATAACCAATATACTGAAAATCTATTAATTAAAATCAGCTACCTGCCCATTTCCTGGATGCACACCTTAACATGGTGGGGGGCTTTGACAGTCCCAGAAAGCAATGTTGCCAGGAAGCCAGCCTTACTCACAAGGCTGCTTTCCTGGCAGGGTTATCCAGGGTGGAAAGGCCAAAGATGAGACACTAGACTAAGATGCACCCATCCACTTCAGGAGGAGCTGTCAGCTCTGCAGAAGAGAATGGCTCTCTCTAATGGTGATCAGGAGAAAGAAACTACTGAAGGACAGCAGTAATTGAAGGGGACACTGGTGGAGGTTCTATCACAGACAGCAACCATGATGCTTAAGCTAATTCTTCTCAGTACTGTGCATTAGAGGACAATGGTAAACCACTTCTGAATAGTCTTATCTTGTAAACACTATGATGAAGCAACCCAAAAAGAGATGGTGAGAGAAGATGAGACTCCTAGGTCCAAAGGGAGTCACTCAGGTAGTGGGGAAGAGCAAAGGATAGCATGAATAGCACTTCCATGAATTACACAAGTAGATATATGCCAAAAGGCAGCCTAGTGGCTGACACACACAGAGGTGAGAGTCTAATGCTGCACAACACATACAATTAGAACTTGGAACATGGAAATTATGAATCATACTTTCTGGAAATCATAAAGCAAGAAATGGAATGAACAGTATGGTACTTTGTATAGTGAGCTAAAGTGAGCTGGAATGGGCCATTCAGTCAGATAAATATGGAGTGTTTTACTCTGGAAATGACAAACTCAGAAGAAATGGGTCTAATGCTGAGGCAAGATGTTGCACAAGCAGCAAGGAACTAAAAATGAAAATCCAATCGAATAATATCAATAAGAATGTATGGAAAACCTATCAGCATAACCATCATTCATGTCTATGTTCCAACAAAAGAATAAATTGAAAACTTCTATTTAAAGATCCAAGAGGAAATTGATGACCCACCAAAGCAAGGCTTGCTGATCATTATTGGTGATTGCAATGCAAAAGTAGGAAACAATGCTGAATCACACAATGTGGGAGATTTTGGCCCAGGCATCAGAAATGAAACAGGAGAACAACTTAAAGAATTCTATGAAGCTAATGATCCACTTATTGCAAATACATACTTCAAGCAACCACACAGATGAACCAATAGCAATTTCCATTTCATCACTGTTGATCTTAATGTTATGTAATTCTTCTTTAGTCATGACCTTTGTTTTCTAATGTCTGGATGCAGTCCTGCTTTTGCACTTTCTTCTAGGGACCACGACCAATCTGTAATGATTAGCAGCAGCAGCTACTACTGCCTACTTTGTATGACTCTGGAATTAGTCTTCTCTGAGATAATCTCCCTGCTCCATTTCTACCCTTAGGGGCATTCCAGTGCCACAAAGCAGAAAACTGTAGGTAAGAGTCTGCCTCTACTTCTTGATTCAGTCTCTTGCATGAAACATGCTAAACATGTAGGAACTCAATTGGGAAAATAAACCTCCTTGGCAAACATCGATAAGTCAGAAAGTGTGTTCCAGCCAGCAGCAAAATGTAAGTGTTCATTATTTCCTGTGCGACTTAATTCTGGAATTTCCCATGGTGGTAAAAGTAGAATTATTTATGTAACCTTAAATGTGATTTAGTTGGAAATGAAGCAAAAATGATTTTACTGACCTTTATTTAGCCATCTTTCCCCCACTGATAGCTTTTCATTATTAGACACATACTAAAACAAAAATGTTTGCTGAATGTGGCATCCCCCTCTCTGGCAAGCAGAACTAGTGATGAGCCTTCCAGCCAACTAGGAGCCTGGAGAGAAGGGTGGGATCACCTAACAGCTGTTCTCACCACATCCCCAGCTCAGTGTTTGAGCTGGCAGTGGTGTGGCATCTGATCAGCAATTGCATAACAAAGCTGCCTGAAGAACCTGAGCCAGAAACAAAGCTGGAGCCACCCCCTCTGCTGGCTTTTCCTTCTCTACAGCAGGAGAAGGTGAGGGAGCACTGGATGCCACTACCTGGAGTGTCTCCATGCTCTTCGAGAATAGCACACATTCACCCTACCTGGTCTTTCCCTTGGAAAATGCCGCAGTGCAGCCAAGGCAAAAGTGGTTGACTTTTTATTAGCAAACATTTTTGCCTTTGTATCATATCGAAAATATTCTACTTTCATGGAAACTTTCCTGGAATACTATTCCAGTTGTGCCTGTTTCCTTGAAAAATGCTCTTCCCATCTGCCATCTCCTGTGCCCTCAGAGGAAACACGAACTCAGATCTGATCGAATCAGTTCTGCTTTTAGCTATTGACATTAGAGCAAACTGGTCCTGGAACTCCCTATCATTGCTGGCCTCCAGTCATGCCTGTCTGCTAGTCAGATCTGCTCACCATCCCTCATGTACTATTGCCAAGTGGAGAGTTGGATATGGATTTCCTAACCCAACATGCTGCACTGTGATAAAGACCTGAACAGTGCTACATATGTGATGAAATGCAGAATGTGGTCTAAAAGATGCCACAACAACCACAATGTACGGAAACTTGAAAGTGGCTCTTTAAGTGCTGCAAGGAATTTTATAGTTTCTAGAAAAAGATAAAATAAAAATAGGATCTCCACAATTTATTTTATTTTACAGCATTACAACTTATGGGCTATGCATCATGATTTTCAGTCCGTATAATTTTTACATTCCACTAAAAGGCCATTTTAAGAGAGAGACGGGTTTGTTATGTGACAGAAAAGAAAGTTAATAACCAATTATGTGGCTTTAAAAACTGTAAATCTGGAACTAGTGAAACCTGTGGCAGTCATAAAAACAACACACGCAAACACCCTGTCAAATGAATTCAGTTGAACTGCATGAAACATCTGTTGATAGAAACCGAAAATGGGAGTTCCCAAATCAAGGTATAATTAAAAAAAACAAAAGTTGCTTATGGTGCTATAACTGTTTCTTCACTGACCTTTAGCAGCTGTGGAAGATACTGCCAGACATGCGTGCGACTTCTCCTTCCTTACTTTCCATTTTGGCCAGTATCCACAGGAGATGTTATATATCAGATAAAAACCTTAAAGCTATAGGCTACACCAGAACATTCCCAATTTATTCGTGCATTAATAGATTCATAGAATAATACAGTTGGAAGGGCCCAAGAAGGCCATCAGGTCCAACCCCCTGTGGGTCCAGGATGTCAAATCACCCCACCCCACTCATATAACTGTCCAGTTTCACATTGAATGTATCTAGTGTGAGAGAGCCCATGACCTCTCTTGGCAACTGATTCCATTGTCAAAATGCTCTGACAATTAGGATTTTTTTTCTGAATCTAGAGTGCTGCACTTTTAGTTCATTGTTCCATGGCCTACACTCAGGGATGAGTGCGAAGAGGTCAGTTCCTTCCTCTTTGTAACAGCCTTTGAAGTACTTACACAGTGCTACCATATCCCCTCATGGCCCTCTCTTCTTGAGGCTAAATATGCCTAGCTTTTTCAGCTTCTCATCAAAGGGCTTATTTTCCAGACCCTGAATCATCTTCGTTGCTTTCCTTTGAACCCTTTCTAGTTTTTTTCTGTATCTTTTTAAAACCTGTGTCCCCAGAACTTAACAGAGTATTCCAGGTAAGGTCTGTCTAGTAAAGGGGTACTAGCATTTCTCTTGTTCCGGAAGTGATGCTTCCACTTATGCATCCCAAAATATTATTTGCCCTTTTTGCAGCTGCATCGCATTGCTGGCTCATATTTAGCGTGCTGTCTACAAAAATTCCAAGGTCTTTTTCTTTTCCAGTGCTGTTGAATCAAATATTCCCCGTCTTGTATTGATACATTTGTGTTTTTTCCAACTTTGCATTTGCCCTTGCTGATTTTCATTATGTTACTTTCTGCCCAGCATTCAAGTTTATCAAGATCACCCTGGATCTTCATTTTGTTTTCCAGGGTATTAGCTATTCTATCCAGTTTTGTGTCATCTGCAAATTTAATTATCATTTGCTGGACTTCTTCATCAAGACTGCTAATAAAGATATTGAAGAGCACTGGTCCCAGGACTGAACCCTGTGGCACCCCTCTAGTTACCTTCTTCCAGTTTGAGAAGATGTCATTGATGAACACTCTCTGTGACTGATTTTTTGTAGTCAGTTGTGGATCGACCTAACAGTCGTTTTTTTTTTTTTTTTTTTTTTGCTAGTTTATCGTCGTGTCATGGAGCACTTTGTCTAATGCTTGCTAATGCCTACAGCATTTCTGCTATTCCTGTTGGCTTCTGTTTATCACTGCATTTTCTTTAAGGCACATTAATTTCACAGGGATTGATGTTAGGCTGACTATTGTTCTTCAGTTCATCTTTTTTTCCTTTCTTGGGAACAACAGCAGTTTTTCTCCAGTCATTTGGCACTTCCCCTCTTTTCCAAGATTTCTCCCAGATTATAGATAGTGGCTCAGAGAGTTCTATCAAAAGTTCCTTCATGACTCTAGGCTGGATCTCATCAGGTCCTAGAGATGTGAATGCATTAAGATCATCAAGGTGCTCCTTGACGATTGGCCTGTTGATCTTAGGCAGTCATCAAGCCCTTTTGCCATGTGCTTCTTCCTGTAGAGGTAAGTCATATTTTCTCCTGTAGGAGAAGACTGAGCCAAAGTAGGAGTTAAGCAATTCCACCTTTTCGATGTCATTGGTGATCTTTTTGTGGATTCCGCTGAGTTGCTGAAACTCCCTATCTTTCATTTGTCTTTTGTTTTGGATGTAACTGAAGAAGGCTTTTTTGTTGTTTTTACCAAGCCTCACTAGCCTCATTTCATAACCTGCTTTAGCCTTTGGACTCCACCCCTGCAAGTCTTGGTTGTCTGTTTATACTATTGTGGCCTGGCCTTCCTTTCACTTCCTGTACATATCCATTTTTGCTTCAAATTGTCTCTTAACTGTTTATGGAGCCTCTGCTGTCTCTTGTCCTTTTTTGGGGGGGGGGGGGGGGGGGGGTTGAAATTTGTTGTTGTGCTTTGATGTTTTTTTTTTCAGATGTCCTATTCCTCTTTGAGTCATTTTCCCTTTAGAGTGAGTTGCCAGGGGATTTTACTAATGTCAATTTGAATTTCTTAATGTTGGTCCTTTTGAAATCTAGGGTATGTATTTGGCTACAGTTGACTCTTGCCATTTTCATATTTGAGAATTCAAGAATGCATGGTCGCATTTCCCCAGGGAACCTGTGGCTGCTACTCTGTTCACTAGATATTCCTGGTTGGTAAGTATTAGGTCAAGTGTAGCTGTTCCTCTTGCCCTTTCCTCCACCTTCTGCTGGAGGAAGTTATTGGCAATGCCTGTCAGGAATCTCTTTGGCCAACTATGTCTCCAAGCAAATATCAGGGAAATTGTAGTCCCTCATGATGACCACATCATGCTTCTTTTCAACACTGGCAATCTGTTTTTCAAAGATAACATCCTTCTTCTCTCTTTTATTGAGTGGTCAGTCATAGAAACCAATGACTATGTTCCTTCTGTTTTTTGCTCTTCTTAACTTGACACAGATGCGCTGGGACTACTTAGTTCCTCCTCCTGTAATTAATTGCAGGTATAAGTACTTTTATGGTGCAGCTCTACCTCCATTTTTATCCCTTCTGTTTTCCCGGAAGAGATTGTATTCACTGATTTTTGAATTCCATTCATGAGAGTCAGCCCACCAAGTTTCAATTATTGCTATGAGTTATAGTTGCCCTTGCATACTTGTTCTTTGTTTTCCATACTCTGGGCATTGGTATAGAAACACTGCCGTTCACTTGGGTTGTAACCTGGCTTTCTTCCTGTGTTTTTTACGGTACTGTTATTAGTCCCTCTTTGGGGTTTTTTTTCTTCCAGTGTGGTAAAGAACTCATTGCCTGTTGACATTGTGCCCTGATGCACATCTCCCTCCCCTGCGTGATTCAGTTTAAATCCTTCCTAATGAAATTTATCATTTTATGCCCAAGGACATGCTTTCTGTGCTTTGAGAGATGCTACCCATCATTTGCCAGTAGTCTTAGATCCAGGAAGTTTAGCTTCTGGTCTCAGAAACCAAATTTCTCTGACATCACTGTCATAACTATGTATACACTTGGAGTATGTTTTCCTCATCACTTCCTCTTCCCCTAAGTGCCCAATGTTCATTATTTTCCTTCTTGGAGCTTTGAAGTCTGTAGTTATTGCCTTAATATTCCTCTTGTCTATGCTGTTCATTCTCACAGAAGAAGACGAGAAGAAAGGGATACTTATCAGTGGGTTGTATGAATTGAATGCATCTGTTGGTTATAGCATTGATCTTTGCTCCAGGGAGAAAATATACATGGCATTTCCCTGTGTCAACTTGGCATACATATTTTTCCAGCCCTTGCAGTAAGGATTCTGCCATAACTAGCACTTTTCTTTTTGTTGCCACAAGCTTGGGTAGCATTT